TATTATTTTTTATTGTTTGTATTCTTATTGTGTTTTAAGAGTTCTTTGTATATAAATTATCTTGCACCATGTCCAAAAAAATATTAGGGGCTAAATACATTTTAGTTTCTGCCTTTTTCCCTTAGCACCCATATCATACTTGAATACCTTGAGCCATTAACTGATGAACCACACATTTAATCAGTTTACAGACAATGATAAGCATTTTGCTCCGATCTGATATCCACTGTCTAAATTTCAGTTTCTTCATTTGCAAAACAGGAATTAATTATACCTACTATGATACTACATGCAAAGTGCCTGCCACCAGGCCTGGCACTTAATAAACATTCAATCAATGGTTCATTTTCTTTTCTCCTTAAAAACTAACTCCCAGACTCACCATTAGGGAGGAGCCTATATACAAACTCTGTTGTATAGTACAGAGTGAGGCTATACAGAGACACTTATTGATAGTCATTAATTATATCATTCTCAAGAAGATAAAATATAGTTATCTGCTATCCTATAGTAGTAAGATTTTTCAAAGAGCATTGTGTAAATTCTGATTTAATTCTGATGATACTCTATTATTTAAAAAAATGATTAGCAAAATAACTGTTTGTTAGCCAGCTGTTTGTTGTTTACTGCTTTGAATTATGAATTTCTGGCTATGCATTTCTGTGAAGCATAGTCGTTTTTCCTTTCAATTATTCCCTATTTAAATGGGAAACACTAGGGCATTTATTATCCTTTTCATGAACTAGATATGAAATACAGTGTTTAAGAAAACATATAGAAGAGACTTGTGATTTCATTTAGTAATTCAGACGATCAATTTGTTAACTGAGGTGCTTCTGTTTGTAAGTCAATATCCAAGATGAAGAGGAAGAAAGGCTAGAGCGTTCAAGCATGAACATTGGTAGAAAAACTTCCATGGCCATATTGTCCAAAAACAATATTTCCAAATACGTGTCAAGGGTGTAAAACACATACCTTTCTCTTCAAGTACCTATATGGCACTCCCTGAAGCATGTTTTATTTCTTCAGATGTGAAGTAGAATGAGAACTGGGAAGCTTTCTCTGAGAGAACGAAATTATGGCAGACCCTCACTGTGTTTGCTACTTGCCATTTGTATACCTGGGGCCCTGGTGGTGCAGTGGTTAAGCCTCTGGCTGCTAACCAAAAGGTCGGCAGTTCAAATCCACCAGCCACTCCTAGGAAATCCTGTGGGGGCAGTTCTGTAACCCGACCCTACAAGTACTAGTAAATTTCCATTAGTCCTTAAACCAGCCCTAGCCAGATGGCCTGCTGCACACGCACAGAAGGGCCAGCTGGGACTGCTAATTGACCTCAACAGAGGACGCAGCAACAGCTTGAATGAATCAGAAGAAAAATCATCACTTAGACCCTATTCCAAAGCGAGAGGTCCGACAAGAACCAAGTCACGTCCTGTTTCCTGGCCACCTTCTAGAATGTTCCCTCCCCACTATGCCTGGGGAGCCACCACCTTGCTGCCCAAATCACCTATAAGCCCTGCTTCCCCATAGCTCAGGGTGTCGAATCTGAGGAACTTCCTCCTGGCTCCTTGCTCCGTGCATTGCAGTAAAGTTTTTTCCTCTTTCTCAAAGACCGGCGTTCAGATCATTGGCAAGTCTGAGCACGCTGGACAAGCACCCACCTTCTAGGGTTCGGTAACAGTTCTACTCTGTCTTACAGGGTCGCTATGATTCAGAATCGACTCTACGGCAGTGGTTTTGGTTTGGAGTTTATTTGTATACATAGTACCTGGTTTGGGGTTTCAGGTAATGATTCCTCCTTCATTCTCAACAGAAATGTTTCAGATGAAGCTAACTGGCACAGGGCTCTGACTGGCTTGTCAGTCAGAGTATCACAAGCCCCTGGTTTCATAATTGGCTCAAGAATGAACATGTGGCCAAATTAGATCCAATGAGATAATATGAGACTTTTGTTGAAATTTTTGAGAAGGAGTCTCATTCTTTCCTACTGGACCTGAAATATAAGGGAATGTAAGTACTAAAGCAGCTACTGAGATTTGCCAGCACACATAGCCCAATATGGCTAAGGGCAAAATATAGTTAGAAATACTGCTTGAACTCTGAAATCAGCTGTACATTGTCCACCCTTCAACTTTTCTGTTGAACGTGCTAATGTGCATATGATCTTGTGACTTAACTCTATTTGGTTGGGGTTTTCTATGACTGTCAACTTCATTGCTTCAAAGAAGGCATCATGCAGGAAGGCCACACTTCCCTTTACTGTTTAGTCTAAGACATGGACTCAGCCTCTTTCTCCAACTTTCTGGATCTGCTCTGTCCTCAACAGAATTCAATAATTATACAATATTTACAGTGGTTCATTTCCATAGTCAGTGTATTATTATACTACTTGAGTTAGAGATTCAGTAGAATTTCCTAGTGGGCCTTGGAATGTCAAGTCCAGTATGCTCTAAGACCTGTTCATTAATAGGAGAAAGAAAACATACACTTCCTCACTCTGCCTGTAGTCCCCTTGTCTCTATTTCTTTCCTCCAAAGTCAGTAACTTGAAAATGTATACACACACACACACACACACACAAATACAGTCTTCAAAAGCAAATAATAATTCATTGAGATAGCATAGTCTTTGTTCATAGTAAGAATAAAACGAAAAACGTTTTCTAAAAGCATCTTTATGCCGGAAGATTTCCCTTGCCTACAATGAAAAGTCTTTACAGGCAAAGTAATTCAGTTCTTTTTTGTATCCAACTTTCCCTTCCGAATTAGTTATGTGTCTGTTAAATAAGCCAAAAGGTCCTATCATCTTGTTTTTCCAAACAAAATTCTCTTGAAAAATGAATTCCTCTGTCCCAAGCAGGAGAAAACAGTTGCTACTTATTTTTTTAATTAGTAACTCTCTATTTAGCATGTAAACTGGAAAAGTCATTTCAAAACAAACTCTGGCAAGATTTTGTGAAATAACTATGTCCTAAAAACCAAAAAACAAACCCGTTGCCATCAAGCCCATTCTGACTCATAGCAACCACACAGGACAGAGTAGAACTGCCGCATAGGGTTTCCAAGGAGTGGCTGGTGAATTTGAACTGCCAACCTTTTGATTAGCAGCCAAGCTCTTAACCACTACACCACCAGGGATCTGTGTATGTCCTAGGACCCAGCAATCACATCCCTGGGTTAGTGTCCTACAGAAATTCTGGCTCAGGAACATGTACAAAGCTGTTCATTCTAGTGTTTCCTGGGGGAAGAAAAAGTTGAAGGCAACCTAGGTGTCCATCACTGTGGGAATGAATAAGTAAAATGTGATGGATTCCAGCATTAGAGGATATGATACAGCTATTGGTGCTCACTGATAAAAGCAAGAAACAAAGCACGATTTATGGCATATTATTTCTATAAATTAAAAACACAATCATACAAAATATACCACATATAAAAGATACACCCATATTTAAGGACACGAAACATTTAAAGTGAAGGACTAAGAGAATGGAAGAAAAATAGTAGTTGGGTTTGAGGAAAAAATGAAAACAGATGATAATCCACCGTGAAGTGAGGAGCATGATTAAATCAACTCTCTACTACAGAAATAACAGTAAAAACAGAAAAATGAGCCCCCATTGTCCTTTTCGACTGTCCCCTTTCAAATGTAGTTTGTCTTAGAGAGCTTTGTAAAAATTTAATTGTACCGTAGGTAAAAAATTCACATGTAATAAGAATATGAGCTGCCTCTGTCTGAGATTTCCTCAGTTATGGTTAAATGAGGAGACGTGAACAAAGTGCAGAGCAGGAAGTACTAATAGGCTTTCTGACATGTACTTTTAAAAATCATTTACAATGATAAATTGCTTTTGGAACATAAAGGGTTTTTTATACCATTGCACATTAATACTTCATTAGAATTGTGGCTGTGGAAGCTGAAAACAAAGATGGAGTTACTTATGCCCAGTCCGGAAGAGCATGGCTGCTACCTAGTTTCACAAGGCAGAATTTTAAGATAATTAAGTAACCTAACTTTTAGAAAAAGTGATTAGCTTGTTTCTGTAGATTTGTGTATAATCAAAAGCCCCCCAGCCCCCGCTCTCTAACTCCTGCGTTCCAGACAAGCTGACGCCTGGTTTTTAGAGAACTGCTCATCAGGAGTTGACCTCCTCAGACCTGTGACATTTGTTTTCTTGAGGAAACTAACATTTCAGACAAGAAAGGATTTTGAAGGACATTTTAATCAACCTCTGAAAAATTGACTATAACCGCCTGGACTTCTTGGGCACTCTTTTTAATCCTGACAGTAAACCCCTGTTGCTGCCTCGTTTCTTTGCAATGCGCAGTTTAGGCTGTGCGTTTCCCAATCCTCGAGTTGTTGATTGAATAATAAATCTCTAGTATTGTTTTTGACTCCGTTTCCACTCTCAGAAATTCCTTTACATTTCCTATCTGTCTGTCTGTCTATCTACTATCTATGAATTGTTTCTTTTACTATTTAATCCCTTTTTTTTTCTAATTTCAAAAGTAGAACACATGCATTATAAAATATTTAGAAAATATTGAATGGCTCTGAGAAGACAATTAAAATAACTCGTATCCTTCCATTAGGGGATAATTTTTTAAACATGTTAATGTACATGTTTTTCAGGATTTTTTTGGGTACTGGTTGTACAAGCACACACGTAACTATACTTCCCACAGATAAATAAACTTTCATATACAACATAAGGAAAAATATTATGGTGCTATTTTGTAATTTGTTCACTTTGCAATATAGTCTATAAATTGTCACGATTAATTAAGCATTCTTTATAAGGAGTTTGTATTGGCTGTCTAGTATTCTACGGCATCACTATAGCTAAATTTATTTAACTAATTTTTTACTGTTGAATATTTACTTTTTATAATTTTTGCATTATAAACAATGCATACATTAACATCATGAAAACATATACATTTGATTTTTTCTCAGGATATACTCCCAGAAGCAGGTTTGCTGAGTTGAAGGGTACATACCTTGTTGATGATTTTTGGAGTGGGTCACGTCTTAATGGTAGAAACTGAAGCTGCTATAAGAAAGATGTAAATGTTCTTAAGTATCTATAAGCTTAAATTATTTTATATTTAATGGTGAATAATAGCATTTTTGGATTGAGAATATTCACAGGAGCATATTTCTCAGGATATAAGAAAAATTATTAAAGAATATTAAGGTACAGGTCCATAGCAAGGATGCTACTGCCAGAGCTCCTGGTGTAAATCCTCTCTCGGACTCCTACCAGCTGTGTGAATCTGAACAAGTCTCCTAACTTCTCTGTGTCTTAGTTTCCTTATCAACAGAATGGAAATAACAATAGTATCTGTCTCATAATTTGTTTTGAGGATGACATGAGTGAGTGTGTTTGTGTGGGAAGGTGTGTACATGTTTGCCCCTGCACATGCATACTTATGTGCATGCCTAGATCAATGCTTGGTATATAGTTAAATCTGGTAGTTATTATTGTTATTATTATTGTTACAGTTATTATAAAGATAATTATTATACTGAGTACTAAAACCAAAAATATACCCTATTATAGCTTTGACATCCTCTCTTTCTCTATTTAACTATCTGGTATCCATACAGTCACTCTAGAGGAGGAATGATTGGAAGAATGTCATCTCATCTCTACCTGGAAAAAAAAGTACATACATACACACCATGGAAAAAATTTCATTGCTTTTGATCCAGGCTACAGAATTGCATTCTATTTGCATAATGTGTATTGCATTTCTCCAAATTTCTTCTTCTAAGAACGTCTAATGACAAACAGCAATTATATGACCGAAGAATGTAAGCTCCATTGCTTTTCTGTACCCTCTAAATGTGGACCCTCCTCTATCATCTAATGGACATTAACTGTAACTGCAAAGATGAAATTTAATGAGTGGAACCTTATTGAATTATAGTTATTTTAATGAGATCTACTTTTTAATTAAGATATCATGCCTCACAAGATTTAGTTGCTAATATTTGCTGCCAATTTTCTAGTTAAATATTTCAATTCTAGAGAATTTTTAATAGTTTATTTATTTGTTGTTACTTTCCCCTTTCTGTTTTTTGTCTCAGTTCTTTTATGTCTTCTTAAATGGGTGACAAAATACTAAAGGTCATCTCATTAAAATGAAGTAATTTGGTTTTGTGGATATGAAAAAGAGTTTGATTAGACTGGTAATGGCACACCTATTCATTACACTGCAACAGACATTGTAAGGGGTTCATACTGCTCTGAATTAGGGCCATTGGTTTGAATAGCTTACAAATAATTTGATGAGAAATAACATATATACATTATACCCCATGAATAATTGCAGGGCAATATAAAGTAGGTTCTATACACAGTGAGAGTTATAGGTAGTATTTAACAGAGCAGGGAAAGAAATGACCTATGGACTTTGAAAAGGTCAATGATATGCCATTATTTCCCTCTTCAGTTTGGGATCAGTTGAGAGAGACACAAAGAAGATGAGCAAATGGAGATGAAAATGTCAGCTTTATTACTGATAAGCCAGCCTAGAGGGTATGGCTTTAGAACTGTAGGCAAATGAACTGCTTAACAGTTCATACCTGTTGTACCTACTGGGTCACAAGCAGTTCCAGATAGCCTTGGCTTTTATTTCAGACCTTGATTGCTTACTGCATAACAAAGCAAATTAAAATGTCGTAACAGGCAGATCCAACAAGTAGGACCCCAAGAGGGCTTGAGTTTTGCATGTCTAGTTATTTCCCCCAAGCTCAGCCATCATATAAATCATTTCTTCTCCCTTTGGAAGGAGTGAATAAGGAGACAAAAGTCAAGGGCCAGGGTGCTACAGTAGCAGGAGTTACTCTACAAGAAAACATGAGGTCAGGGGGGAGATAACTTCTGCCTCAATATCAGAGTGGAGTGAAATTCATTAAAATGTTCAACAAGTATTGGTTCAGCCCCTATTCTCTGCAGGCCCTGTAGGACAACCTCCAGTCCCTGAAATCACAGAGGAATGTATCAAGTGTGTATTATATTATACAGTTTCAACCAATGACCAGTGAAATTCATACACTTTTCCAGTGGAAGAGAAACTGAAACTTTGATGTTTGGAAGGAGAAGATTACATAATGTCTAGGAGGGAGAAGGTTACGTGATCGCCATACCACAAAAATAGCTAACAGACTTGGAATAATCCTCATTATGAAGACTGTAGAAATTCTGGTCTCAGCAGAATCCTATGAAGAAGGTAGTACTTTCAGTCCTCTTCTATGGATGGGTAAGGTGAGCTGAAATTAATGTTCATAACTTGCTCATGGGCATACAACTCATGAGTGGTAGAGCTGGAATCTGAACTCAAGTAGTCTGGTTTCAGTTCCTATGCTATTAACTGCAGCTGTATACTGACTCCCAATATTTACTGTAGTACATGGACACCTAAAGACAGGAAAGAAAATAAAGACCAAAAAGGATGTCAGAAGAGACTCTGAAAGTAGCGTAGCTAAAGTGAATGGAAGAAATGATGAAGTAAAAGAGCAGAACAAAAGATTTCAAAGGGTGGCTTGAGAAGACAAAATAAAGTATTATAATGAAATGTGCAAAGACCTGGAGTTAGAAAATCAAAAGAGAAAAACACACTCGGCATTTCTCCAGTTTAAAGAACTGAAGAAAAAATTCAAGCCTTGAGTTGCAATACTGAAGGATTCCATGGCAAAATATTGAACACAGGAAGCATCAGAAGAAGATGGAAGGAATACCCCGAGTCACTGTACCAAAAAGAATTGGTCAACGTTCAACCATTTCAGGAGGTAGTATATGATCAAGAACCAATGGTACTGAAGGAAGAAGCCCAAGCTACTCTGAAGGCATTGGCAAAAAGCAAGGTTCCAGGAGTTGCTGGAATATCAACTGAGATCTTTCAACAAATGGATGCAGAGCTGGAAGCGCTCACTCATCTGTGCCAAGAAATTTGGAAGATAGCTACCTAGCCAACCAACTGGAAGAGATCCTTACTTGTGCCCATTGCAAAGAAAGGTGATCCAACAGAATGTGAAAATTCTTGAACAATATCATTAATATCACACACTGTATTGCTGCAAAAACAGTTGCAGGAATACACTGACAGGGAACTGCCAGAAATTCAAGCCAGATTCAGAAGAGGACATGAAACAAGGGATGCCACTGCTGATGTCAGATGGATCTTGGCTGAAAGCAGAGAATATCAGAATGATGTTTACCTGTGTTCGGTTGACTATGCAAGGACATTCGACTGTGTGGATCATAACAAATTATGGATAACACTGCAATGAATCCAAATTCCAGAACACTTAATTGTGCTCGTGAGGAACCTGTATATAGACCAAGAGGTAGTCATTTGAAAAGAACAAGGGGATAATATGTGGCTTAAAATCAGGAAAAGTGTACGTTAGGGCTGAATCTTTTCACCATATTTATTCAATCTGTATGCTGAGCAAATAATCAGAGAAGCTGGACTACAGGAAGAAGAATGTAGCATCAGGATTGGGGGAGGACTTGTTAACAACCTGCGATATGCAGATGACACAACCTTGCTTCAAGAAAGCCAAGAGGACTTGAGGCACTTACTGATGAAGATCGAAGACTACAGCCTTCACTATGGATTATACCTCAACATAAAGGAAATAAAAATCATCACAACTGGGCCAATAAGCAACATCATGATAAATGGAAGAAAGACTGACGTTGTCAAGGATTTCATTTTACTTGGATTCAAAATCAACCCCCATGGAAACAGGAGTCAAGAAATCAAATGATGTATTGCATCAGGCAAATGTGCTGCAAAAGATCTCTTTAAAATATTCAAAAGCAAAGATGTCACTTTGAGGACTAAGGTGTACCTGACCCAAACCGTAGTATTTTGAATCGCCTCATATGCATGTGAATGCTAGACAATGAATAAGGAAGACCGAAGAATTGATGCCTTTGAATTATGGTGTTGGCGAAGAATATTGAGTATACCATGGACTGTCAGAAGAACGAACAAATCTGTCTTGGAAAAAGTATAGAGGCGAGGATGGTGAGACTTTGTCTCACACACTTTGGACATGTCAGGAGCACCCACTCCCTGGAGAAAGACATAATGCCTGGTAAAGTGGAGGTTCAGCAAAAAAGAGGAAGACCCTCGACGAGATGAATTGACACAGTGGCTGCGACAATGAGCTCAAACATAGCAACGATTGTGAGGATGGTCTAGGCAGTGTTTCGTTCTATTGTGCATGGGGTCACTATGAGTCGGAACCAACTTGTTGGCACCTAACAACACCATAAGAGCAACATGGACAGTTAATATCCAAGTTACAAGAAGGAAAAGAAAGGTGGAAAGAACCTATATCCACCTGAGTGACTTTACACTTTCTAAAGAGTAGTAGCATACCACCGCTCTGCTCCATTCCCCTTGAGAGCTCTACGTCTCTACTAGCAATGGGTTCCTATGAATGGAGATAACAAGTGGTGAAATAGTAACTACACTTCTACCTCCTTCCCTTGCCTTCTTTCCTCTTTTTTAAAAATATTTTATTTTTGTGATTTTTGTTGAGAATATACACAGAAACATACACCCATTCAACAATTTCTTCCTGCAAATTCAGTGATATTGATTACATTCTTCAAGTTGTGCAAACATTCCTACCTTCCCTTCTGAACTGTTTCTCCCCTATTAATATAAACTCACTGTCCTCTAAGTTTCCTATCTAATCTTCCGAGTTGCTGTTGTCACTTTGATCCCATACAGAAAATTCTTTAAAAGAGCACAATGATCAAGGCTGAATTCTTTACTAATTAAGCTAAACTATTGTTTGGTTTAAAGAAGATACTTTAGGTTTCAGGTTTAAAGATTATCTCTGGGCAAGTGTTTCAGGGGTTCATCCAGCCTCAGTGGCTCCAGAAATTCTGGATTCCATAAGAATTTGAAATCTCTTTCTCATTCCCCCTTCCTTTCTTTACTCTTTATTGTCTTGTTTGTTACTTCCTTCTACAAATATTTATGAAATACCTCCCATATAACAGGGGGTCCCTGATGGCACAGT